CATGTAATATGACAGTACAGTTCTTTTATTCAAGGTTCTTTGTTTTTTTTCCAGCTCCTCTCTTTGTTTGTTCTTATTTTTGAAATTAAAAACATGCTTAATTTGTTGCATCTTCACTGGGTAATTTCGGTGCTTTAATCTAATTTCTTGTTGATTAACTCAAGATCTAGCAAGAGATTCTGCATTTTCTTGAAAACTTTGAGTTAGACTCAAATAAAAAAAAATAGAAAACCATCCAATTTTTATGTATCCATTTGTTTACCTTGATCAATTCTCTGGAAAGGAGTTTGCACATCCATGATTTATATGTAACTATGGGAAACTGAAAATAAAAATAAAAATCGGAGAATTATACAAATACAAATAAAAAATAAAAGATTGAAAGCGCTTGAAGAGAAATAAAAATTAAAAAAATGATACTATAAGAAGTTGTCTGAAATTGTGAGAGCACGATTTGAGAGGGAGACACAAAATTTTTAAAATTTCATTCTTGATTATTCTTGAGTAAATTATTGAGAAAAATCAGTGAAAAGATTAAGATGAGAGAGAAAGGATTTTTGTATAAATGGATAAAACGGAAAACCGAAAAGTATACAATTCTGGAAGTGGTTCCTATTAAATAGAACGAAAGGTTAGCGGCAAATGATAATATTTTATAACTATAAAGCTATGGATAACTAATTAAGTAGCATATGTTTGCTTAATCGCATAATTTTTCCTTCTTTTTATCGGAGAAAAAGAGCAAGTAGATCCAAAATTGTACTATATTATAAGAGTTTACTTCAAGTGCTCAAGCAAGCAGGTTAACATGCATGCTTAGCACTTTGAGGGTATCTATGTAATTTTGTGATAGTTCTTTCGTAGTAATTTGTTTGTCTCTTTTATTAATTTTTTATATAATCATAATAATTAACAACTTAAAATATTTTAAAGACGTAAAAATTTAATTGACTTTTGAAATTATATTTGTGTCGTATACATATATATATATATATAAAGTTTAAAATGAACATGCTGATGTGGCATGCCTCAATAGTCAATGACCACTATCACTATTTATCTTCCTTTTTTTCTAGAATTTTGAAGTTTTTCCTTATTATTTGTATTTATTATATTTTCTTAATTCTTAAATTTCTGATCTCCAATATATTATTTAATATATGTAACATCTCTTTCCTCATTATTTGAATTTATTACATTTCCTTAAATTCCTCTCTTATTTATAATTCTTATTAATTTTGTCCAAAAGATAGAATTTTAGGTATTCAATTTATATCTTTTGTTTTCTTTCTTCCTTTGGGGCATTTCCTTCTTAAATTTCTGATCTTAAATCTAAATAAAAACCTTGCATGTCTTTTTTTTTTAAAAATAAAAAATTATAAGGAGTTTTTGTGAAATTGTACTCTTCTGAGAATTGAAGTCAAGATGGTAACATATGTCCCTCTCATATTTTTTTTAGTTCCCCTTCATTTTTTGTTACATGCTTCGAATCTACAGTTTAATTTGTTTGAATTCGAGCCACATATACAAAAAAAATAAATGATTCATTCCACAAAATCTTTAACAATAAAAAAAAAAAACAAATACATAAGAGGTCGTTTGGTGTGAGGAATAAAAATAAATAGTGATGGGATAAAAATTTTGTATCTTGTTTGGTTGTCATGTTTGGGATAACTTATCCCACCATATATATCATAGTGTTGGGATAAGTTATTCCATATACATGGTGGAATAAGTTATCCCATGATAACTAACCCCAGGATAACTAATCTTAGAATAACTTGTTCCCAACCAAATGACCCATTAGCCTTCTCATACAAGAATTCTTTCTTTCTCGTAGATACAATTTTTATTTTATTTTATTTTGAAATGTCTTTGTTAAAAGAGGCGTGTATCTCAGAAATTTATGTAATCAACAACTATAAAATGGAGTCACTCTGACATTAAAAAAAATGACACATAAATAAAAAAGAAGTGAAAATTTATGGAATTGGTCATTAAAATGACGAACATAAATCAACTCAATGGAGAAATAATATAAATTGTCACATTATTAGAGGATGAGGTAAATTACACAAAACACATAAGAAAGACAGAATGATTTAACAGAAGAAACAAGATTTCTCAAAAATATCAAATCGATAATGACAAATAGGGCAACACCATGTTTGTGGTACATTAGTCGTATACATTAAGTTTCTTGCTTTTGATATATGTTATAATGTATTGTTCATTTTGTTTCAATCACCTCATTATTTTGCTATTCTTATCATTATTTTTTCTGAAGGCTTTATATTGCTTTTCTTATTCGTTGTCATGTTTTTCTCAGTGCCATATTTTTTCATAACTATTTTGATTTGTTGCAATTGAATTATGAGCCTTTCGAAAATAACCTCTCTATTCTTAGGATGAGGGATAAGGACCCTGTCATTTCCCTAACTATTTGTGAATTACAGTCTGAATATTGTTTGATGATGAAAAAGAACAGAAAAAACACTAACTTAAGCAAAGCAAAACAAATTACTGCTCCCTAGAAGCTCCTCCACCTTATTTCCTTGAAAGTTCGAACCAACAACCTCAAGATAGGAAGTGAAAGATATTTTACCACTTAAGCAGACTTTTCTTGTTGCAAAGTACACCTAAAAAATAGGAAAAAATTACACCATTAAATTTAAAAATACTCATTCATATAAAACAAATAAAATAGAGGCAGACATTAATCTTTATAATTTTTTTCATGAAATAATGGACATATTTAAAATTGAAGCTCATTAGTCTTACCATGTAAAAAAGTTCCCAACAAATATAAAGAGACGAAAAGCTAATAAGGCTTTTGAGTTTTAAAACAAAGATAAACGATTGTTTTTAATTAGTGCGACTTTTGAGGTGAATATTACAAATTAAATAGGCAAGTAAATGCTTAAAATTTAATGGACAAGTAATGAAATACACGACTGAAAATATCGGTAACATAACTCTTATAATATGGACTCTTTAGAGTAAAACAAACATGAACTCTTTAGAGCAAAATAAATAATATGGAGTAAATGAAAAACTAAATACTCTCATCTTTCTTCACGTAAAGTTCTACTCTTTTCATATACCCGTGAGGTCAAGATCACCTTGCGACCAAATAAATTATACACATATAATATAGGGATAAGGGTCTGAAAAATATTTTAACTTTGGTCGAATTTGCTGTTGCGATAATAAACTTTCATGAGGACCTATTACCTCCCTAGATTATTTAATAGTGTATTTTTTACCCCCTGAACTATTTAATAGTGTATTTTAAAGATATATATGTGTCCACGTGGACACATTACTATTTATAATTTTGCATTATCTTTTATGTCCATGTGGGCAAATATATATATTTAAAATACGGTATTAAATAGTTTAGGGAGGTAATAGGTCCTCGTGAAAGTTTAGTATCGCATCAGCAAATTCGTCCAAAGTTAAATAATTTTTTAGACCCTTATCCCTATAATATATATAAATGAAAGGTTGTATGTTTATATAGAATAATAAGTTCATTTGGTGAAAACATATGATCGAATTCTCAATCGCTTACAGCTTTTATTTTGCATCAATTTGAGAACCTTATAAATTTAAATATTCAGAAAAATAATCAGGCTTGATGAAACTCCTTTTTAAAGTTGTCTTTGATTTAGGTTCATAGATACCAAAAAATAATTGTTAAGAGTTTTCTCAATCGGAGAAACCTCAATTATGTGCTATATTAAAAACACTAAAAATAATAATTCTCTTCTCTATATTATATATGAATGTTAAGAAACTAAAAGGTCATTTTATTTAAATTTTCTTAAATACTAAATTTAATGGTTTTTATTTTCATAATTTCTACAACGTACTTTTTATCATTGTTGCCCCTAAAATAATTAATAGTAATATTCATGATATTATTTGTTATTTCATATTGTAGAGACACATTAATTATCACATTAGTCTTTTAAGTTAAATTTTTGGTGCTTATTATATTCATAATAGTTGACTTAAAGAATAAAATGAAGGCTATTGAATAGTGATCAACTTGTGGGAGTGAAAATCGATAAGAGATCGTAAGATTGCACATTCACTTCAAAAGCTTTTTCCCTTTATTCTTTATTAATTACGAAATAATAATGATGTTGCATTATTTATTTTCTTATATATGCTCTCTTTATGATTTTCTTTATTTTATATTTCATATAAAATTTTTATTGTCGTAAGTCTTTAAATTCTTTTGGCTCAATTTAGTAATTTATGATTCTATTGAAGTCTACTAACTAACCATTTTTTTAATTATAGATAGATAGAGAGAGTTTGTAATATTTAATTAAAAAAAATTAATAGCTTATCATATTTATTATCGTGCGAAGCACAGATAAATTTACTAATAATAATTAAGAAAAGAAGAAATAACATATATTATTTGAATTGCTTAAAAAATAATATAAATCATAATACTTAATAACTTAAAAAGTATTCAAAAGACATATAAAAAATTTGATTGTTTCTCAAAATTTTAATGATATATATTTATTTCAAAAATTACGTAAAGATATTATTAATACAATAATTAATAATTTAAAAAAATATCTAAAATTCATATCAAATCTAATTTGACTATCTAAATTTTATTTATATCACATAAATTAAAAGAGATAAAAAAAACGCATATTGAACCATGCTAACACGAGTTCTAGTGTCTAGTGTTGATGTTGAATTAATAAAAAGAAGAGAGAAATTAGAAATCCTATCCATCCAAAATCTAAAAGAAGGACCTAAAGAGAGTTTTGGTTGTTCTTGGAGGGAGATGACACCTGTTTTGACAGGTGTTGGAATTAGGTGATAAAATGACACGTGTCACGTCATAAGTGCCACTAGGTAGATCTATTTAAATGACTTGTTGTACATTATTATTGTTATTATTAGATTGTAGAAACAAAGATTAAGCATTAGAGGGAGAGGCGTTCAAAACAGAAAGTTAAGTCAAAATGCAAGCCATGAAAGAAACTGCAACTAATATTAAGTCTGGTATTGAAAAGACCAAAGCTGTTGCTCAAGAAATGGTTTTCTACCTCTTCCCATTTTTTATTCTCTCGGTTCATTATTACTTGTTCATTATACTATTTTGAAATTTCTAATTAAATTTATCTAGTTTATTATTACTTGTTCATTATATTTACTTGTTTGATATATTATTTTGAGATGTCTAACAATATTTGTCTAGTTTATAAATGAGATATCTAACCATAGTTGTCTAGTTTATAAAATAAACAAATAATTTATCATTATATATATATATATATATATATATATATATTATTTTAATAAGAATAATTTATCCTATCATTTGCTAATTTTCAATTCTTGTGTCAAAGTTATTAGTGAACAATTATAGTGTTGTTTATTTTATAAAATGAATAAATATATCATTTTATGTAGAGTAATTTATCCTATCATTTACTAATTTTTAATTTTAGTATAGTTATTAGTGGACAATTAATATTGAACTCCGAAAGTAATGGAGAAATATGATAAGTTAATTATTTCATCCGCCCTAATTTATATGGTTCATTCTTCTTTTTAGTTTCAAAATATTTATTTTAATCATTAATAAAATGATTTATAGCCATATAAAATTACATTTATTTTAGACTATAAATTTTTAAAAAAAATTCTTTCTTACGTTTAGAAATATTTATTTTCTTCTTAATAAAATGATTTATAGCTATATAAAAATTATCATTTATTTTAGACGATAAATTTTAAAAATATTTCTCTGTTAAATTTTGTGTCAATTTATATTAATTTATATAATGTCAAATTAAATTATATAAAATGCCACAGAGGGAATTTACTCCCACTAGTTTCTCCCCGTTCATATTAAGTAAGAGTAGGACACAATCCCAAAAAAATATTTATGACGAAAACTGAAAGTTACTTTTTATTTTTATACTTTCAAGGGTTATTTGATGTGAGGTATAAAGAATAAATAGTTTTGGGAACAAAAAAAATAGTTTTGAGACTGAAATTTTAGTGTTTTGTTTGATTATCATCATGTTTGACATAACCTATTCTATTATTTATGTAGTGAGATAAGTTGGTCAGGAATAATTTGTTTCCAACCAAATGAAATGGAAGGATGATAAATTTTATTTATATTTTTGTAATGCATGATGGAATTAGATGACAGCAAAGAACCCAAGTGAGAAAGAGATGGCAACAGAAAAAAAAGAAGAAAGAATAAAGGCAGCAGAGGGCAAGACACATTCCTACTCAACGAGTGGAGCTACTGGACAACCAAGTGGTGCACATCAAATGTCAGCATTGCCAGGGCATGGAAGTGGACAACCAACAGGAGGAAGTGTGGTAGAAGGTGTGGTGCCTTCACACCCTATTGGGAAGGCTACTGGAACTCATAATACACATGTTGGTTCATAAACTTAATTACACACTTTTCAGTTTTTCTTTCTTTATTTATTTATGTCAATAAATAATATTATTGTGAAATGATGTTTTTAGGTGCATGTGAACCTGTTAAAGAGGTAATAATTCAACAATTTCGATACACATACGTATAATGAAAAAAAATTATCACATAGAGGCACAACTAATAATAATGGTGCGAGGCTTTTTTATTTTTGAGACGAGTGTTAAATTTTTTTTAATTTGATGCAAATTATTAGTTTCATTTTCAAACTATTGATAATTTTAAAAATATTTTTGTACTTGACTAATTAAATTTAGATAAATATTTGATCATCCTCAATTTGCCACAAGACATGGTAGGTGGTTACTCTTGATAAAAAGTTGGGAAATGTTAAATACTCTGACATGGTAGGTGGTCTCAAATTATTAAATTATTGTATGACATGTTACTCTTAATAAAAAGTTGGGAAATGTTAAATACTTTTAAATTTGACGAGAATTTAAGAGTGTATTTTACTCATGTGGTAAGATTGGATGTATATTTAAATTTAGTTAGTCAATTAAAGGGGTGTTTTAAAAGCTCTCAATAATTTGAGAATGAAATTAATAATTCACACTTGACGCAATTGGAAGATCAAGATTTCTTCCTGCCGCTCAAGTGGGATCAGATCGGGCTTTAGCGAGAACAGCTGTAATTAAATCGGGAACAAAAAGACGTAAAATGATGCCCGAAATAAATGAACTAATCTGGCATTCATCTCTTTTGTCGGAGTTTTCGGGATATGGATGTTTTCAATACTTCCTTCCTATATTTTTTGACATTTAGATAGTAGATCTATTTTCCTACTTTTTACATTTATCTCTCTTCCCTTCACTCCTCTTTAGTAACATTACAAATAACTTTATTGTTTAAAATATCTTTTAATAGAATCAATAAATCTAAATACAAATTAATCTACTTTAGATTATAAACAGATTAGATAGGATTATATTTGTTCTAATTTTGTTTAAAATTATAAATATTATTAATGTAATATATCACAAATACAAAAAATATTACAGTTGAGAATAAAATGACAAAAATGAGTAAATAATTTTTTAGGCTGAGGCGTAGATATCTCACTCTCTTTAAGGAGATTCAAGCCCACTGCGGCATAATCTACACCGATCCAATAGTAATACTCTTGACTTGTCCCTTCTAGGATACAACAATCCAACAACGTCGTACACCTCAAACAACTCCGGATTAGTTGAAGAGTCCAAAGTTCTACATAAGAATGTTTCCTTCAACATACAAATATTATCTTTTGTATAGTGAATATAGTTGAAGACTTAAACTATTTTTCTTTGTCTCAACTCTCTCTTTCACTACACTTACCTCACTATACATTACAATATTTTTCCACACTTCTCATCTTTTTTGACATATATATCATTCACAAAGAAACACCACTGTTTATAGAGGAGGAATTTTTTTTTGTATTGAATAAGAATAATGTGGATAATAATGTAGCTAAATGAATAGCCTAAAGGTTACGTAAGTTATAATGTATAATGAGGTAGAATAACGAGTAAAATTAGTGATAGATCATGACAATAATGGTTAAACAATGACTACATTCTTATCATCTTATACCCACTAACATATGCACATCATATTTTTATTTTAATATTAAAATGCATAAACACCAACAAATATTTTTTTCTACATAACTATATTACTATATATTAGAAGAGTCTAGGATTTACTACCATTGTTCCAATTAAATCATTACAAATGTCCAATACTTACTATATAAAATATATAAGTGGGCCCCACCTCCTTCCACTTAAATAATATTTTTTCAACCTTATCATGGTAAAAGTTGAATTTATTATCCTTTTCATTTAATTTTATATGATATTATTTTTTTCTATAAAATCATTATATATGTTTTAATAATTTAAATTTCAAAAATATTATAATTTAACTTTAAAGATTTTATTTTATCAAAATCTTGTACATTGAAATATATAGTTATGAATTTAAAATATTTTTAAAATCATATAAAAATTTCAATAACTTCTCAAATTCCATAATATAACACTTAAATACTACATATTATATATTAATTAATATACTATAAATGACTTAAATACTCCATATTATCTATTACAATAATTAACAATTATTTGACACTTTAAATACTATCAATGCCATATAAATTAGGATAAAAAACCTAACATATAATATTTAAATATATTTAAAAATAATATAAGTAATACTATACATTACAATAATTAACAACTTAATTATTTAAAACTTATATAAAAAATTTAATTGAGTCTCTAAATTCTATTGGTACCACATAAAATAGATTATATAATAAACATATATTGTTTGAAATTGACGAAAAAGAAACAATAAATTACAATAATTAATAAAAAAAAAGTCCACTCCAAAAAATCTATCAATTAACAACATATATTGTTTGAAATTGACAAAAAAGAAACTATAAATTACAATAATTAACAAAATAAATCTCTCGACTCCAACAAATCTATCAATTAATGCCACATAAATTGGGACATGGCAAATAACATATATTATTAAAAAATTAGGTTCAAAATGTACTATAAAATACAATAATTAACAACTTAATATATTAAAGAGACATAAAAAAGGGTTAATATTTAAAATTCTGCATGTGCCACATAAATTAGAACAAATAGAGTAATAAATATTACTTTCAAAATTATGTTAAAAAAAAGTACTACAAATCACAATAGCTAACAATTTAAAATATTTTTAAAATCATATAAAATTTCAATAACTTCTCAAATTCCATAATATGACATAAATTTTTTAAAAAAAAGTGTTATAAATCATAATAAATAGTACAATATTTAAACTACTTTAAAAGCATTATAAATTGTAATAAATAATACAACAATTTAAATTACTTAAAATTTAACGACTTAAAAATATTTTTTTAAATGTATTAAAATTTTGGTTAATTGTCTAAACTTTACATGTGCCACATAAATTGGGACATGGACAGTACACATATTTTTTTTTAAAAATTACATTAAAAGTATTCTATCAATTAACAACATATATTGTTTGAAATTGACCGGAAAAAAAACTATAAATTACAATAATTAACAAAATAAATCTCTCGACTCCAACAAATCTATCAATTAATGTCACATAAATTGGGACATGGCAAATAACATATATTATTAAGAAATTAGGTTCAAAATGTACAATAAAATACAATAATTAACAACTTAATATATTAAAGAGACATATAAAAAATGCTTAATATTTAAAATTCTGCGTGTGCCACATAAATTAGAACAAACAGAGTAATAAATATTTTTTTCAAAATTATGTTAAAAAAAAGTACTACAAATCACAATAGCTAAAAATTTAAAATATTTTTAAAATCATATAAAAATTTCAATAACTTCTCAAATTTCATAATATGACATAAATTAAAATAAAATAAAAATATATATATATATTGGGCCCCGTGCTGGCACGGGGTCCTATATCTAGTTTAAAGATAAGAATGAACTATATTTAAAAATAAGAGCGACAACAGAGCAAAACAAGGCAGGCCGCGACCGATTTATAAACGTTTTCTAAAACATTTACATGGGGGCAAATTATAAATGTTTTCTAAAAAAATTACACGAGGAAACAATTCGACTACTGGTTTAGTTTGACTTGGTTTGGTTTTGAAAAAAAAAACCTGACTATATTTCGGTTGGTTCGGTTTTAACTAAAAAAAACCAACCCAAATTTATATATATAATTTTAAAATTTTATTTTATACATAAAAATATTTACTTTGATATAATTTTAAAATATTCCTTATACTTTTCAATAGTTTTTATCTTTTAATATATTATTTCAAGTTTGAAGCTTAGAATTATGAATGGGCCGATAAAGATTATAGTCCACAGATGTTAGTAATTATAATAAAGCTTAAATCAAAATCAAATTAATACTAATGTAAAAAGAAAATGACAATAATATTGAATAATTGTTCTTTAGTTTTACATTGGTTTAGACAATTAAAATACATAATCTAATTTTAATTTTCTTTAATATTTAGTCATGTAACTAATACTTATTAAACTTAATTTTAGCATGACTTAGTACTTTTAAATTATGATTATTTTCATTATGACTTGTTAATTTGCAATATTTGTTTTACGCGATTTCATTATTATTATTATTTTTGTTGGATATTTTAGTGTCATTAATCATATCATATTGTGTTATATTTTTAAAAAAACATCTTAGATAGTTGTATTTTGGTAGGACTAAAGAAATATTTGAAGTACAAGTAAATTATATGTTTGTATGAATACTTTACCGGAAAAACCCGAAAAATCCGAAAAAACCCGAGGTTGAAAAATCCGACTTTTATTGGTTTGTTTGGTTTATAAATTTAAAAATCCGACACAAATGGTTTGGTTTGATATTTGAAAAACCTGAACCAACCCAGTCATGTACACCCCTACTTAATAACATGATATTGAAAATGAAATATGAAAGTTTCATCAATCAAACATTCTAAATCTTTGTAGCACTGCAAAAACCTTCACCCAACATGACCAGGCATACAATTATTTAGTTGCATTGTATTACCTACCAGTAAGGGTGTACATGATCGGGTTGGTTCGGGTTTTTCAAATATCAAACCAAATCATTTGTGTCGAATTTTTGAATTTATAAACCAAACCAAACCAATAAAACTCGAATTTTTCAACCTCAGGTTTTTTCGGTAAAATATTCATACAAACATATAATTTACTTGTATTTCAAATATTTCTTTAGTTCTACCAAAATACAATTATCTAAGGTGTTTCTTAAGAAAATAACACAAAATATGATATGATTAATGACACTAAAATAATATCCAACAAAAAAATTATAATGAAATCGCTTAAAACAAATATTGCAAATTAATAAGTAATAATAACAATGATCATAATTTAAAAGTACTAAATCATGCTAA